TTAAACTAGACACCCTAATTTATTTCTCTCACTTCACTTTACTCCAGGCTAGCCTTATATACTTTTGCACATTATATTCTATTTCTTCTTCTTTATATCTTTTGTTCGTTTCAGAATTACATGCACTCCTTTTATGTTTTCGTCATTATCAAATAATTCTTATACTATTTTTCATATCTACAAATACTTGAATGTGATTGGCCTCTTAGATTTTCTTTCGTAGGCTTACTCTTCGATAATCAATTTTGCCGAAACTGCTTCCGTTACTTCTGTGTAAAATATATTCATATGCGATACACACAAAAAGAGTTTAAATAAATAATAATGAATAAAAATTTATCGGTTAAGAATTATGAGGATTAAACACATTTTTTTTCTAGAGAATATTGGAGTGTATACTGGGTCGCTGGCTAACAAACTTAATATATCAGTTTGTGAGTTAACCCACCTGGTTTACCTTCTAGGTACATGTATAATGTTTTTGTGTGTATATTTGTACAGGGAGAGGACGTCACTTATTGTTATTTGTGGGTATAATCGGACAGGAAGGCTCATTAATACAAGAATTGCTTCAGGCAGAATAACAACATCAACTTGCTATCATGATGTGTATTGTAGACAAAGGAATATCTAATTACAGACACAACATCCGGTTTAAAAATACATCTATAGATAATTAGCCATGTGTCGGTTATTATAAAATATAGACTCAAATTTGAATGAAAGAAACGAATCACAATTTATCAACATCCCCTTTTCTTAAGAAAGATATCTACTTTTAAAATTCGCAACTATTATCAAACAATTTAACCAAAAATAATAATCTCAATTATAAAGTCTTTTCACATATTTTAAACAAAGTCAGTATCTAGAGTTTGTGATAGCAGTTCATTTTTAAAAACTAAACTAATTATGAAAACGACTAGAAACTAAATGATTGACTAGAAAATAAACTACTTGAAACAAATAAAATTGTCATATCCGTAACGCACAAAGTCTTTCAAATAGGCTGGTTCTCTGGTAGTACGTTTTGGTCTAGTTATCGGTTCGACGCGCTTTTGTTCCTTTTCAATTGGTTTGCTCTCGCTAACTAAATTGTCTGAGTTCATTGACAGTTCTACAGTATTTGGTGTTCCCGTCGGTACAGCAGTTTTTGTTTCTGCCATTTTATCAAAATTCAATAGTTCCCGTGGTGGTGACATATCACGGATTTGTACATTTACACTTGTCGGTCGCATGTGAGATCGATTACGTCTGTACGGAACTCCTTCCTGGCTTTTCACTATGTATGCTCTTTCGCTTATTCTTTCTTTTACTTTTCCCAACTTCCAGTGCTGTCCTTGTTTGTGTTCGAAATACACTGGGTCACCAGATCCTAACGGTGGTAAGTTCTTTGTGCGTCTGTCATAACATTTCTTGACAGATTGTTTCCTTGCTGATCGTAATTCTGTAGCTTTCGCATTCGGTACTTTTGCTTTGTGTTAATTGATGGAATCATCGATCGGGTTTTTCTTCCGAACATTATTTCGGTCGGACTGAGACCAGTGTTCTGAGTAGGTGTATTTCGCAATTCAAGAAGCGCCTCGTATTGATCACGACCATCTTGAAGAGTTTTCTTGATCATATTCTTAATCACTTTAACGGCAGATTCGGCTTTTCCGTTTCCTTGAGGATGATTCGGAGACGACACCATATGATTTATTTCCCATTTTGTTGTAAATTGTCGAAATTCATCGGAACTAAACTGAGGTCCGTTATCGGATACAATTGTTGTCGGGATTCCAAATCTCGCAAACTGTTTCTTAAGTATTGTGATCACTTGACTAGAGGTTGTTTTCGATAAGTAGTCTACTTCGGTAAAATTCGAAAAGTAATCAATGACCACAAGGTATGGTCTGCCTTTTATTTCGAACGAGTCCATTCCTATTTTCGTCCACGGTGATTGACCATCACTGTGTTGTATCAACGGTTCCCGTTGATTTTTCGGTTTTGACTCTTGGCAAATTTCACATAACTCTGTCATTTGTTTTATCTCTTTTGCCATTCCTGGCCAAAATATTGTTCCTCTGGCTCGCCTCATCATTGAATCATAACCTAAATGAGCACTGTGTAAAAGGTTTTTCATTTCATTTCTTAATAATTTCGGAATGAGGATGGCTTCTCCTTTTACCACAATTCCTTCTTAGATACTAAGTTCGTCTCGCCATTCAAAAAACGGTAATGCACAGTACGGCATAGTGTCTCTGTGTTGTGGCCATCCATCATTGATGATTCTTTTGAGAGTCTGTAATTCGGTATCTTCTGCTGTTGCCAATCTTATTTCTTGCAGTCGCGCATCCGGTATATCTTCAAAAATATTTAATTGCATAATTCGTGGTCTTGCTGTCTCTGTAGCATTGTCATTTTCCAAAAATGCTCTGCTTAGAGTGTCTGCTAATACAAGGTTGACTCCTTTTACAAATCGGAATTCAATGTCTTATCTGAATAATTTCATCATAATGTTTTGTAATCTTTTTGGTGCACGACTTAGTGGTTTACTTAATATCGCAGCAAGTGGCTTATGGTCATTCTGAACTATAACTTTACGTCCATATGTGTACTGGTCAAAACGCTCGAGACCATATAACATTGATAATGCTTCTTTTTCAATCTGAGCCCAATTACACTCTGACGGTTTTAGTGCTCTTGACGCAAATTCAACAGGTTTCCCTTCTTGCAGCAGTACGGATCCCAGACCACTCTTACTACTGTCGACTTGCAGTACAACTTCTTTGTTGACATCAAAATAAGCCAATATGGGTGCTTCAGTAAGTCTTTTCTTTACTCTTTGAAATGCCGCCTCGCATTCATCGGACCATTTCCATGGTACATCTTTTTTAGTGAGTTCTCAGATCGGTGCTAGATCATTAGCAAGATCTGGCAGAAATTTTGCCATGTACTGTACCATGCCACACAATCTTTTCACTCCTGACACGTCGGTCGGACAGGGTATTTCATGTATCGCCTTTACTTTAACATCGTCAACTTTTACCCCTTCTCTTGTAATACGGTGACCATGAAACGTGATCTCGGTTAATCCAACTTCTTTCTTTTCCTCATTAAGAAGAATGTGATGGTCATTACAACGTTGAAACAACATTTTGAGTTTTCGGTCATTGTCTGTTCGTGCTTCCTCATTCGTACAACCACAACCTGCAACAATGATATCGTCTGCTATTGTGAATACTCCTTCTATGTCTCCAAGAGCTTCTGTGAGCTTTCGTTGAAAAATTTCGCTTGAAACTTTGAGACCAAACGGAAGTCTCGCCCAACGGTATCGCCCAAATGGTGTTATCATTGTTGTTAAATCACTAGACTCTTTGTCAAGTTTTACATGCCAATATGCTTCTCGGACATCAAGTCGGCTAAATATCTTAGCATTTGCTAATTTCGGAAGTACGTCATCTAGAGTTGGTAGTTTATAATGTTCTCTCATCAGTGCAGTATTAAGCGGTTGCGGATCAATGCAAATTCTCAGTTTTCCATTCGGTTTTCTTACGACTGCCATTTGACTAACCCATTTAGACGGTTCGGTCACTGGTATCAAAACTTGTCTCTCAACTAACTTGTCAATTTCCTTCTTAACATCGTCTTGTAAAGAGAGCGGCATTTTCCTACTCGGTAATGTTTTTGCAGGTACATTTTCATCAACTTTCTCTCCTAGATCGCCAATTTTCTGTGTTTCAACTTTAGCAATGAAACGGTCATCATTGACAGTTATTAATCCCATTCTACGGATTGTATCCAGGCCTAGTAAATTCATATGTCCATTTGGCACAACGACCAAAGTTGCCATGGTTTCATCGCCATTTTTTGGATTTATCAATTTTATAAGTACCTCCCCTATTGGTTTCATACCCAGCAAACACAAAAACATCTTTAAAATGTTTTTAAAATGTTGTGTCTAATGTCATGAAAATATCACAAAAAAACGTGAGAAAAACATTAAATGTATGGTAGAATATATATCGCTAAAACGTTTTCTAATATATTTTCTAAAATATTTGCATAATATAATTAAAATGTTGTAAAGAAATATCATGATAATGTGAAAAACAATGGCGTATAAAACATTTTGATAATCTTTTAAAAAATATTTTCTAGAAATATTTTCTGAACGTTTGAAAAACATCATGAACATCAAATAATGTTATAGAAATGTTTTTTGGATGTTTTCTTGCAAGTGAGACTGTGCCTAAAAAATGTTTTCAAAATGTTTTAAGAAGATGTTTTTGGTTGATATCTAGATCATATCAATATAAAAATTTCTGTACTTCTGATTGAGTTTCCTGCTTTTTTAAATAACAAATCATTAGTTAAATTATTTATACACAGTGATTAATTCTATATACAAACAAGAATAAATCAGTTGTTTTGCTAAGCATATGAAATTCACAATTCAAAGTCTCTAAAAACAAGAAGTATCTACAAATGTTGACACATCCAAAATGGCAGACACAACTCATCATGGTCAAGCCACTTACCAAATATGAAGTCATTCTGTTCATCAGCATTACTAATTAAAGTAATGAAAAATTTGAGAACATTCAACATTAAATATGACCTCATCTTGATCAGCAGTTTTGGGAAAAACAGTGATGAAAATATTTGTTGGACAAAATCTGACAAATATAGGTGGACAGACGCCAGACAGTGCAAGAAAGCCCACATTCTAACCACAATGGTATAATTTTTAGTTTTTCACGCTCAACTTTTATTACCTATCTTATACACATCATGCATATGTCAACCTGAACATGCATGACATATATGCCATTGGACATTATGCAAACATTATCCACATTTTTAAGTTCAAGTTACATTGACTAAAACTTGTGTCCCAAATTCAGATTTTTCAATACAACTTCTCTTTCTAAACTAAAACGCTACACTTCTAATAGGGTTAAATCTTAAGTCAATAATCATTGATAATTGGCTGAAGAGATGAGAACAAAACACCATTTTACATCAACTATTTGATTTATTTAAGAATACATTGAAAAAGTCAATCAATTGTCTTATTCAAAATCACTTGGAATGTCTTGTAGTGTCTTATATCTTTTTCTTGCTGTGCCATGCTTCTGAAAAAAAATTAATCTTACATTCATATATAAACTTCTTGCACATTCCTTTATTATAGAACGATTCACGTTGCCTGAAGGATATACATCCCCTCCCCTTTAAAGTTTTGAAACAAATAACGATGATAGTCTGTCGGAAGGGGACGATAAATGACTGACCGTGTTAAGAGAGAGCAATATGCCACGCTGAACTTCATTAAGTTATTAAAAAAAAAAACACATAAAAAACTCTAGACTAGATATGTGTCCAGTCAAGAGTCTTATTTCATTATACTCGTTGATTGTTGTCTATCATAATTTTTTTCTTTTATTGTTTTGTATAAATCAGGCTGTTGTTTTTCTTGTTTTTTTTTAGTTTTCATTGTATCATGTAGGGGCCTTTAAAAGCCCTGCTACATAATGTCATTAAACATCTTATTGTCATTTTTAAGTGTTAAACTCTGTAGAGTGACATAGTTTATAACTTGTCATTTGTATCTAAGGGCATATGATACAGTCCTAGAAGTATACTATAGGCACATAATAACTTATCGAAGTGTTAAGCATTGTTTTCACAATGATGATAATAATATAACTTAACTTCCGAGAAACACACAGATGTCATTAAATGAGTTGTTTATATGTATTTGAAATACTTCAAAGGAAAGCAAATATGTTGTTTATGAAAGCACACTGTTGGACTAAAAGATTGATTTAAATAAACAACTTGTTTCTATTTTGTCACAAAAAAAATTATTTATTCAAATATCCAGATATCTTTTCTGTATTGTATGCCCTTAATCTTGAATGTAATGCATTGTTTATGCTAAATATTTGAATTAAATATGGAATAACAGTAATTCTGTATGAAAATCTTACTTCAAAAAAAAAAATTCTCCTGAAAGGTTGTAGACATTCCAAAGAACCTGCGCCACTTCCAAATTGTAAACCTGCATATTGAACTTGTCCTTTGTGGCTTTTCTTTTAGCTCCTGTTAAAAAATAAAAGATACATTGTATGTACATTGTGTGTATGAAGCAATAAATATAATTTTAAGCAACAGTTTATATTATCTTGCTTGTACTGAAGTCTTACATAGTCTTTGTAATGTTCATTAAGCTGTTAAGGGAAATTTAATTTACTGTTTTGCAAATACATACATACACTGATTTTACTAGAAAAAAAAATCTCCATATTCAAATGGTGCTTATATTAGTGTTATTGTAACTTGTTTGTGTGCCTCGGAAACAAGGTATTGAGTCATGCTTATTGCAATAGTTGTTGTTGGTTTAAGTCTGTCAAATTTTTTCATAATGTGTATTTAATGTAGGCAGTTTGTTTTGTTTCAATTGTGTTGAGAAAAGTTTAACATTTGTTTGTCAAGGCTTCAAAGTGGACTATATGGCATTGGTTTTCTCAGTTTTGAAAGCTGTACAGTGACCTATAATTTCTTTTATCCAAGTCATTTAAATTCTGGTGGATAGCTGTCTCATACACCTTATCTCTATTTCAGTATTTGGAAATCTGTCCCGCTTGAACTTTTTACGTCAGCATACGTCATACAATAATACACCTTATCGCTATTCCCGCTTGATCCGAGAATCTATCCTGCTTGAACTTTTGACGTCAAACAACAATCACTTTTCCATTGTGGCATCAGATATTTTTTATGATGACGTCAAAATTTTAAGGAAACTTGTGACAGTTGTGTGATGTGCAGTAATGGCGGACAAATAGCGATAAGGTGTATTACTTTCAATTGTGGTGTCAAATATTTTCTAATATGACGTCAACATTTTATGGGAACTTTTGTGATGTCCATGGCCAGTAATGGCGGACAAATAGCGATAAGGTGTATTGGCAATCAAACACACAAGCCACATATCCTTATAATTTTTTTATATCAATGAACAAATTCATAATTGGTGTACGTAGTTGCTTGAACAGTGGCGGATTTAGGGGCCCCGACCCCCTTATGGAGCTACTTATAAGATAAATGTATAGACTATTTGCAAGTATCACTCCAAACGTTTGCTTGCCTTGGGCAGGGGGCCCCCTTTTTTCAAAACCTTGATCCGCACCTCCAGAAACAGATGTAATTTGGTTCCGATTATGATTGAACACACACGATGAATGCACAAGTTCATCTTAACAGATTAATCATTCTTACCAAGTGAGTATATATCGCGTAACAAACAATTTTCTTGGCTCTCTTTGTTGACATCCTGTCTTCGTTTCGAAATTCAAATTTCAAAATCATTTCCGGTGATAAAACAAAAGTCGATTCCGGAAAAGGTCGGTTTTCCGTAAGACATTTAAACGATACGAAAATTGAACTTAGTACAGTTACAGTTTTCATTTCTTAATTTCTAAAATATACACGAACGAAATGAATAAACATTAAACAAAAAAGGTGATTGTTTATTAATACATTATTGCGTAATTTAATGTTGACTCTTTTGAATTTTAATATAAGAAGGAATACAATCTGACTTCAAGGATCTTCAAGATATCAATTAAGGATTTCAACCATAGTATCTTGCTTGTCATGATATTGATGAAATGTAGTACTATATCTTATCCTGAAAAAAACGAGCTAATTCCACAAAACGTTGTGTGTGGGGTTTTGAATAAAGTTTAAATAAAATGTTATTTTTATATCCGTAAAATGTTGAATAAAATATCAGTAAGACTATTAAGTAATGTGTATGTCAGAATATTTTATAGAAAACATTTAGCTGATATTTTTCAGATGTTTTATGTAAAACATTTTAATTTTACGTTATAAAACATTTTATGCAAATAGCAAAACTATATTTTCTGTAAAACATTTTTTTGCAGAATGTTTTTTGGATATTTGGAAAATATTTACTTTAAATGTTGTTAAAATATAAAATACCAATTGAAGAAAATATTATTTTTTTATATTATAAAATATCTACGGGATATTTTAGAACAATGTTTGAGAACATGAATAAAAGATATTAGCAAATAATATTTTGTTAATGTTGTAAAAACATTTTACTTAAATGTTAGAAATAAAACATTTCAAAAACAATAAAATAAACATTTTTTTTATGTTTAAATGATATCTTATTGAAATATTTTGTGAGAGACGTCCATATGACATTTAAAAAATGTTTTTAAAATGTTGTGTGTTTGCTGGGTAGGGGTTTTGTTTCACATACGCAGTGTGATTGTGCTTGGTTTTACTTGTTCTTTACGGATATATCGTTTACAGATCGTATTTACATTGTATCTAATTGAAATCTTACATTGCAATCATTTACATTCATTAAAGCTGAAATGTTTTTAGACTCTGCACATATTGCCTGAATTACATTTTCAGATGTATGGCCAGTGATAGCATTCAACCAACAGTCATCTTCTTCTTGGTCACTTTGTGTTGAGCTGATTGAGTGTATGTTCTTGCATTTGGCTTTAAAATGGTTTCTACCTTTGCAAGCATCGCATGTTTTTCCCCATGCTGGACATTTTTCCTTTTTCCATTCATGTTTGTAACCACAGAAATTACATTCTTTGTTGTTAATTTGTGTGTTGTAAGAAGTTTTACTCTGTGATTGAGGGTGTCTATTTGGGGTCTTTTACTTTCAGGTTGGTAAGTTTTCTTTTTGAACTTATCATGATGTGTAACTTTATTGACTGTGTGAGTCGAATTTGTAGATTCTCTCAACTCCTTAACATGTTTATTTGACTGTTCATAAGCTCTACAAATTTTGATTGCCTTCTCCAAGTTAATCTTGTCCTCTCTTAATAAAAGTTCCTGCAGTTTGCCCGTGACGCTAAAGATAATTTTGTCACGCATCATACGATCTTTCTCTTGGAAATTGCACGAATCTGCTCTAGTTCTCAATTCAGTAAAGAAATTGTCAAAAGGTTCTTGATATGGTACCATCCAAAATCTATGGGACTCTAGAACTTCATTTTTTCTTGGATTGCAGTAGGACTCTAGTTTTTCGAAAAGTTAGTCGGGTTTCTTTTCATCACCTCCCTCTGTCCACTGAATTTGGTCAAATATGTCTACAATGTTGGAACCGGCGCAATTCAAAATTATCGCTACTTGGACTGCACCGTCCTTTTTTACAGCTCCGCTAGCCACAAGATATATTTCAACTTGCCGTTTCCATTTCTTAAAGTTTTCTGACACATTTCCTTCTGTGACATTTAATTGTGGGGGTAGACGGAAAGTGTTTGTTCAAGCCTCGGCCATTGCTGATTCAGCGTCTTTCAACCACGTGGAGAATTATTATTTTGGATCAGGGTACGGCAGCGGTGCACTTCCCCAGAACCATTACTTGTGCAGAACCGGAGTACGTTCTCAGAACCAATATAAGTCTTGCGCAGATATGTCTTTGATTGACATCTCACTCCCGTAAAATTAAGACAGATAACAACGACCCTGAAATAAAACATTAAAGTTGTTTGCATAACAGAGCCGGCGTAATAAAAATGTCTACGTGGTGATTACTTTACCATGTGAGGTTATATAAGCTATATATTAAAATTTTATATGAATTACAAATTAGTATTTAAGTGAAATAAGCAGCCGATAAACTATTGTAATTTTACAAATATAGATTTAAGTTAATTAGAAAAACAGGAGACATGTAAAAACATCAAAGATAGATAACCCCAACATTAAATAGCTCAATTTCAATATGATATAGCTCTCTTATTTTTATCAAAATACATAATATGTATTTATACCCCACACTAGCTGACACGGATGATACATGAAACACCCCCTTTCGATATCGTTGTCACTGCTCCCTAGGGAACCTTAATTGGAACAAACACACATTGTATTGTATTGTATAATGTATTGTGTAGTGTATAGTTTGTAATTTACTCAGTACAAGATTTAGAGTATTCTTCAACAGTTTGCGAATTTGCGAGCGATGCCCCCGGAAATGAAAGTAGTGATTTTTATTTCATTTTTTTCAAATTGCCATTGGGTCACTTCCAAATATTCATTTCATGAATATGTTTCTTTTGAATTTCTTTCAGTATCTTCTCACCTTCTCTTCCAATTCCTTTCAGGGGCTTTTCCGTGTTGTCCCCTGAACTAACAGTAGAAATTATTTTTTTTTTTAATTTTAATGTCAATGGATACCACAGCTAGGTGACATTGAGTTTTACCCCAATCACAATAAAAGTGTGCATTATTCAATCAATGAAAATTATTCAAACAACATTTTGTGTAGCCGAGCTAACATATAATGCATTAATATATCAAACGGTAATAAAAGAAGCGATATAACGTATAAATATAATTTTAGTTATACTGATCATATGTGTAAAACAGTTGCTTGGATTAGAATACTTTTATCTATTTGTGAGAAAAAAATGTTGGTTCTGACAAGGCATACTTGTTTTTACCGAATATAATGAAAAGTTGTAGCAGGTCACTACCTAAAGTCTGCATTAAAAGACAACTATTCAAAAAAAGTATTAAAATATCTACTTAAAATAACGGTTTGTTCCTGAGGAGGAAACGACCAAAAGTCTATATAGAAATTTTGGTTCTGACACGGTATTCTTGGTTTTCAAAGTTATTCTGAAAAGGTATATGAGAAAGTCTGCACAGAAAGAGAATTATCCCAAAAAAGGTATTGTTATATTTACTGGAACAAACGGTCTGTTCCGAGAAGGTAACGATCTTAAGTATAAATAAAAAAAAAAATGGTTTTGATAAGGTATTGTTTTTAGTTTAAAAAACAGTTGGTTTTGAGGAGGTTACACTTTAAACATTAGTTAATAACATTTGGTTCTGACAACTGACAAGGTACTGAGGAGGTAACGATATTAAGTCTACATAGAAATTTTGGTTTTTACTGTAAATAACGGTTGTTTCTGAGGAGGCACCGACATAAAGTTTACTTAGAAAATTTGGTTCTGACAAGGTACTTATGTTTTTACTGTAATTTAAGGTTGGTTCTTAGGAGGTACCGACATAAAGTTTACTTATTAAAATTAGTTCTGACCTGGTATTGTTGTATTTACTGTAAATGAAGGTTGGTTCTGAGGAAATACCAACATAAAGTTTACTTATAAAATTTGGTTCTGACAAGGTACTTATGTTTTTACTGTAAATTAAGGTTGGTTCTGAGGAGGTCCCGTCATTAAGTTTACTTATAAAAATTAGTTCTGACCAGGTATTGTTTTTTGTTACTGTAAATGAAGGTTGGTTCTGAGGAGGTACCGACATAAAGTTTATTGAGAAAATTAAGTTCTGTCCAGGTATGGTTGTTTTTACTGTAAATAAAGGTTGGTTATGAGGAGGTACCAAGTTGAACCTAAAATTTACTTGGAAAATTTAGTTCTGACAAGGTATTGTTGTTTTTACTGTAAATTAAGGTTGGTTCTGAGGAGGTACCAACATAAAGTTTACTTAATACGAAATTTGGTTCTGACAAGGTTTTGTTTTTTGCACTGTAAATAACTGTTGGTTCTGAGGAGGTACCAACATAAAGTTTACTTATAAAATTTGATTCTGACAAGGTACTTATGTTTTTACTGTAAGTTAAGGTTGGTTCTGAGGAGGTACCGACATAAAGTTTACTTATAAAAAGTAGTTCTGACCAGGTATTGTTTTTTGTACTGTAAATAAAGGATGGTTCTGAGGAGGTACCGTCGTAAAGTTTACTTAAGAAATTTGATTCTGACAAGGTATTGTTGTTTTTACTATCAATAAAGATTGGTTCTGAGGAGGTACCAACATAAATTTTACTTTGAAATTTTAGTTCAGACCTGGTATGGTTGTTTTTACTGTACATAACGGTTCGTTCTGAGGAGTTACCGACATAAAGTTAAGTTAGAAAATTTGGTTCTGACAAGGTATTTATGTTTTTACTGTAAATTAAGGTTGGTTCTGAGGAGGTAACGACTTAAAGTTAACTTTTAAAAATTAGTTCTGACCAGGTATTGTTGTTTTACTGTAAATAAAGGTTGGTTCTGAGGAGGTAACGACATAAAGTTTACTTATTAAAATTAATTCTGACCAGGCATTGTTGTTTTACTGTAAATAAAGGTTGGTTCTGAGGAGGAACCGACATAAAGTTTATTGAGAAAATTTAGTTCTGACCAGGTTATTGTTTTTTACTGTAAATAAAGGTTGGTTATGAGGAGGTACCAACATAAAATTTACTTAATTAGAAATTTGATTCTGACAAAATTTTGTTTTTTGTACTGTAAATTAAGGTTGGTTCTGAGGAGGTACCGACATAAAGTTTATTGAGAAAATTTAGTTCTGACAAGGTATTGTTGTTTTTACTGTAAATAAAGGTATGTTCTGAGGAGGTACCGACATAAAATTTATTGAGAAAATTTACTTCTGACCAGGTAATTTTTTTTACTATAAATAAAGGATGGTTCTGAGGAGGTACCGTCGTAAAGTTTACTAAGGAAATTTGATTCTGACAAGGTATGGTTGTTTTTACTATCAATAAAGATTGGTTCTGAGGAGGTACCAACATAAATTTTACTTAGAAAATTTAGTTCTGACCTGGTATGGTTGTTTTTACTGTAGATAACGGTTGGTTCTGAGGAGGTACCGTCATAAAGTTAAGTTAGAAAATTTGGTTCTGACAAGGTACTTAAGTTTTTACTGTAAATTAAGGTTGGTTCTGAGGAGGTAACGACATAAAGTTTACTTGTAAAAATCAATTCTGACCAAGTATTGTTGTTTTTGCTGTTAATAAAGGTTGGTTCTGAGGAGGTACCGACATTAAGCTTAGTTATAAAATTTGGTTCTGACAAGGTATTATTGTTTTACTGTAAATAACTGTTGGTTCTGAGGAAGTACCAACATAAAGTTTACTTATAAAATTTGGTTCTGACAAGGTACTTATGTTTTTACTGTAAATTAAGGTTGGTTCTGAGGAGGTACCGACATAAAGTTAAGTTAGAAAATTTGGTTCTGACAAGGTATTTATGTTTTTACTGTAAATTAAGGTTGGTTCTGAGGAGGTAACGACTTAAAGTTAACTTTTAAAAATTAGTTCTGACCAGGTATTGTTGTTTTACTGTAAATAAAGGTTGGTTCTGAGGAGGTAACGACATAAAGTTTACTTATTAAAATTAATTCTGACCAGGCATTGTTGTTTTACTGTAAATAAAGGTTGGTTCTGAGGAGGAACCGAC